TTCGAAAGAGCCAAAATGTCCATATACATTCAAAATTCAAAAAAGGAAAAGTTTCCATGACTTTTGCAACATTACAAAACATCATTCATGGCTTTGAAAACATTTGTTTATGGCTGTTTAAACATTTTTTTCTTGTCCCCTCCATCCCCTCTATATAAAGAACCACATACATACGCACAAAGGAGGCTAGACACAACAGGAGGGAGAATCACACAAAATCAAAAACATATTCTTGGAGGTTTTCCTGAAGCTTTTCCAATCATCCCCAACCCTTAAGCAAGTGTCTCCACATCCAGAAAGTGCCAAATCGAAGGTTCCAACTATTGGTAAGAGAGGATAAAAGATCAAAATTTGTATTTTCATGACACATTAATACTTATAGTCATTTGATTTGTAATCAAAATTAAGGACCTGGGTTCGACACCCTGGTCTACATTTGTTTTGTTGCTAACACTTGCTGCAGATGTAGCCTGAATAGATCCAACACGCGCATAATTGAAAGACCTGGGTTTGGCACTCAGGTCATGCTTTTCGTTTTTCCAACATGTTTGCAGATGTAGTGCCCTTACAAGTGATCCATCAGGAAATTCCAGCAGTGCCCTCTGGATCGAAAGCCACATCCTGTCACTGGATCAAAGGGTAATCGAAAGATAACTTTCCCTTCATATAATCGAAAGGAACCATCTCCCTGAAATCGAAGGATACTTCCTTTTATTTTTATTTTTGTTTTCATTTCTTTATTGACCCTCTTTTATTTAAATTGACCTTAAATAGAAAATCACAAAAAACATTAGACTAGTTGTTTTTCTAATTAAATTAATCTTATAAATAAATAAATTATTTATTTTAACCTCTTTCTTGAAATTAAAAACTAAATAGACTTAGGTTATATTTTCTTAAAATAAAAACAAAACAAAAAGATTTATTTTCCTTAGGATTTAGACGTCCATTTTAATTTGTTTGCGCATTCATTTATTTTCACATTTTGTTTTATTGTAACTGCTTCCCAGTTTGTAATAGTAACTAGGATTTTATTTCTCGCATTTTTATAATGTACCTCTTACAAAGTCATGTAATAGCGTATGATTTACATTCCCGCACTTTACATTTCTGTAATTTACATTTCTGTATATATTAACTGCTAGTAACTAGGATTGTATGATAAGACTAATAATCAAACGCTAGCAAACTTAACAAAAAGACAAAAATAACTGAACATAACACACTTACACATATACACCTTTAGGATACCTCACTTTGGTTACCTTCAGAAATAAAACAGTCATGAAGCAGAAACGCTTTAGCAAAGACCCATAAATAAAAAGATCATAGTCCATCAATGACCCTACAGTTGCCTTCTCGATAAATGATCTAGTCCCTAAACAAAATTACTAAGGCGTCTCCACAAGTTGCCTTCGTGACTGTAACGTCCCTTCCAATTTCCCTTTTACATCCAACGATAGGGCTACCTACTCATTAATAGTAGGATAGCACTGCCTAAAGGATAAGAGGAAAAAAACTACACTTTTCGAGTATAAAAGTAGATAGTTGTTAGAAGTTTGCTCAAAAACATTTTGTACTTATGCAAATACTACTTTTCAAAGGCAATTTTCAAAACATTTGCTTTGTTAACACTCTTGAGGACTGATACAAGAGTTAAACACAAAGCAAATCTCCGCACTAAGGCATTTTCAAACTTTTTTAAACACATAAAACACAAAGTACTTTCAAAATGAGCAAACCTTTAAGAGCCCGTAGAGAACTACAGATGGAAAGGGTGCTAACACCTTCTTAATTTGGATAAAAGAAAAGTCGGTGGCGACTCTTGCTTACCGCAACATTTGCGAATACAAAATGCAAAACCAGTATATAATAGTCGGTTCTGCCACCGTATCACAGAGAGCATTTTATAGGGGTGGAGGGTCATTGGGGAATTGAGGGACAAAAAGTATTAGTGTGCATTTTGAATGTGTATGCTTTGTGTGATGTAGTTGGGAAGAGAAGGTTGTGGAACAGGTTGAATGAGATATTTAAGGTCGAGTCGAAGTCAAAATGGTGTTTAATGGGCGATTTTAACACAATTAGAATGGAGGCGGAGTGGAAAGTAGTTAGAGAATTCACCTGAAGATAAGATATGGTAGAGTTTGATGAGTTCATTATGGATAAATAGCTATTAGATCTACCTCTATGAGGTAGATGCTTCACTTGGTCAAAATTAGATGGTTCATCTAGGAGTCGAAACTACGCGAAAAGTGAAGTTACATGGTTATCCCCGGAGGAGATCATATGTAAAAGATAAGCTTAAGCCTAACTTTTCTCTCTTTCAAGAATGAAAGCTAGTATAATGTGGAAATAATCTCGTATGAAATGATTAAAAGAAGGGGACGTGAACACAAGTTTCTTCCACTAATGCGTAGTAAATAGAAGGAAAATCAATGATATTTCTAGTTTAGAAACCCAAGATGCAAAGTTAATAGGTGTGCAAGAGATTAAACGTGAAATTTATGAACACTTCTCAAAGGTGTTCAGTGGCAGTCCAATAAATAGACCAGTCCTTAGGGACTTTGAGTTCAGAAAAATTGGAACGAAGGATAACAATGAGCTTACATGTGAATACTTAGAGTATGATATCGAAAGAGCATTGTCAAGGACTCTTGGATTCTAGACATTTAACATATAGAATTTTCGGATGCTCTTCGAACTCCCCAACAAGTGATATTAGAGTCATGATTAGGCTTGATGGGGAGGGGAGCGTAAGTGGGACATATATCAGTGGGGAAGGGAGCGTAAGAGGGACATAGATAAATGGGGATGAGAGAAGAAGTAATATGAGAAAGTGATATGAAAAGCATGAATTCTAAATAAGTGTTATTGAGCATGACATGGATTTGTGATGTATGGAGTATGTGTGTCACTCTTGTTTTGAAATGCATGTTATAATTACTCTGTTTTATGATGTAATATTCTGCGGAGTTTAGAGGGTGTTACAACAACCAAGGGAGTATGTCATAAATAAAAAATAAAAAATAAAATAAAATACACTTAAATGCAGTTGTTGGAATCCGAATGGGGTTTATCGTAATATTTTCCCTTGATTGCTAGCATAACTGAGACATTATGTAGTATTTTTTAAAAATGAAATGTGGTGCGCCTACAATTTACACTTCAATTATTTGTCGGGTGAGGTAAAAACTAGTAATGTGGGTGACTCACACCTGTGGGAAGATTGTTAAAGTCAAATGTTAGTTAACTCTTACATTAATTAGAAATGAATGAAACATTACATGTATATAAAAGAAATGACTCATATACCTATTGAGTGGATACGAAGTGTCAATGTCTTTTTATATGAATATATATTTCATGACACCGCCTCTCCTGAACTTCCCAATCATAGATAGTCTCTATATTTACTATTGAGTAATGCTATATAGTAAAAATCATTTGAATAAGAAAGACAATAATGTATACTTGTTATTGTTTTAGTGGATAATTTTAAATTTAATTTTTTTAATAGGAATTATAAAATAGTGATAATGATGAATGGTTGAAATTTAATTATTGTCTTTATTTACTTTCATATTTTCTTACCGATAAGTATTTTCCATTTACTATTTAAGATACCTCAAATAAAAAATCTAGCACAAACAAAAACAACATCTACTAATATAAAATTAAAAAAGTATTTTTCCTTATAAGAAAAGTGATTTTCCTAAAATTATCTATAACAAATAATCTTATTATTTTTGCATGTTTTGTGTGTATGGGTTCAACGTATCATAAACCAAGTGCTGATTCAAAATGAAAAAATTATTGAAAAAAAGGTAAAACAAATAGAAAATTTCTTAATACATTTTTATAGGAATGAAGTAAATCTTTAAAAATTTAAAAATATTTTTCGTATATGTATATTTGAACATATTTTATTTTTGTAAAAAAATATATTTTTAGATATATATTTTTGAATAAAATTTATTATTTACGAAAATATGATTTTTCAAATATACATAATAAAAAGTTCCTTTTTAGTGACTAAAAGAGGAATATTGGTAATTAGTATTTGATTTAATGATAAAAATTTTCAAAAAATAATGCTTATGATGATGAGAGATATTGAGATCTCTGCATTTAATTTATTTTTCAATAAATTTTTAATTAATCAGTAGTAAGAGAAATAGTGAGTATTGAACTGAAGAATTTTTAAAGTGTTCTTTTTCTTTTTTTCAATAAAATGAAACTAATTAGTAAGTTTATTGGTTTCTTCAGAATTAATAAACTCATTAATTGTGTCGGATATATGTCTCATTTTTATTTAAATACAACATAGAATTTTTTGGATTTGTATATTTTTAAACATTTCTTTTTCGTAAAAAATAAGGTTTATTTAAATATAGTACATATTTGAAAATTTGTAAAAATTAAGGTATTTTTGGATATACATCTTTAAAATTAAATATTTTATGAAAAAAAATATGATTTCGAATATGTAGATTCGAATTTAAAAAATATTACAAAAATATTGTTAAAAACTTTTAAAAGACATAAAAGTGTATTAAAAAATTGTCAATCAAATAAATTCTGATAAATTGATTCTCCATATTTACAAAAAGATTAAAAAAAAACTAAATTATATTTGACCAAAAAAAACTAAATTATATTTGACCAAAAAAAAAACTAAATTATGTACCTAAACAAAAAGATAGGTTGATACATTATCAAAATATTTTTTTAATTAGACTAAAGTAGTACCAAATTCAAACCGCTATATCTACTTGTTTTTGTTATTTTTTAATCAATGCATTGAGACAAATTTCTCACTATAAATATGACATAGTTTGAATATCTGCAATTGTATCAAAACAAAAGCAAATTAATCAACTTTTAAGTAAATTTTTTTGTTAATTTTTTATTTATTATTGTGATCACAAATTGATGTTCAAATAATATTTTTAATTTATTTATTTATTGAAGGTATTTTATAAATTGCATAAAATACAAGAATGGTGTTTTGGGTATTTGGCTATGGTTCATTGGTGTGGAATCCAGGTTTTGAATATGATGAAAAAGTTATTGGATTTATAAAAGATTATCGACGTGTTTTTGATTTAGGTAATTAAATGCAAATATTCATTCAACAATTTTAATTTCAATTTCAACACCTTTTTTTTCTTCATAATTTCATAGAATTTGTATTAATTAATTAATTAATTAATTAATTAAATTTCCCTTTTTTAATAATTTTATACTATAGCATGTACTGATCATCGAGGAACACCTGAATATCCAGCTAGAACTTGCATGTTAGAGCCTAAAGAAGGAGCAATTTGTGTAAGTTTTAATATTGTTATTATTATTATTTATTTATTTTGTAATATTTAAAAAAAATTGTATGTAGGTTTTGCCAAATTTTTTTATTGAATTTCTTTTCCAGTGGGGTGTTGCATTATGTGTTCGTGGAGGTCCTAAAAAGGAAAGAATGGTTATGGAGGTGATTATCAAGTTATTTTGAACTCGACTTTTAAGATGATATCAAAGTCTATCATAAATTTATTCATGTGATAAAAAAATTCGACTAATAGTCTTTTAATTTAAACTCGTGTTATTCCGTTTCTGTTTTTCGTGTTCGTGTAGTATTTGGAACGAAGAGAATGTGAATACGATCAGAAAACTTTTGTTAGCTTCTATGAGGTGAGATTGTAATATATTTAATTACCCTCTAATAATTATGTTTATGTCTTCATTTACTTTTTAATCTTTTATATCTGCTAATTTTTATTTTTTTTAGGAAGGAGATTCATCAAAACCTGCTTTAACTGGAGTAATACTGTAAGTCATCAAACACTTTCGATGATACTGATATTATTATTTGCCGTTTTTATAAATAAAAAAAATTGTAATTAATTTACATTGGGACGGTCACAATCAGTGTTACGACACATGTACCAACCGAAATCGCGAAAGTCTTTGTACGTATGCGAACTTTCTAACACAAAACTCATGTGAATATGCAGATTCATATCCAGTAAAGAAAACAAATACTACTTAGGACCAGTTCCACTAGAAGATATGTCTAGGTAAGTTTCTTCATTTTCATGTGAAAATGATGTTTATACTTTTGTTTTCTTTCCTTTAATTTACGTTTGTTCATATTCAGGCAAATAGCTACTGCTTATGGTCCTTGTGGAAACAATAGAGACTATGTTTTCCTTCTAGAAAAGGCTATGTATAATATCGGTAAGTTGTCGTAAATTTGACACTTAAGAAACTGTTTGGATCGGCTTTGAGCTTACGAGAGTGTATGAAAACCGCTTGTGACATGTCTACAAGCGGTTTTCAGCTGGTTTTCGTAAGCTCTCTAGAAGCAGCTAATAATTTTTTTTGCAGGTCATGAAGATAACATGGTGATAGAACTTGCTAATGAAGTGAGGAAGGTAGTTGCAGTTTTGGACAAGAAAAAGCTGGTTGGAAGAGAACAACTTGCAACTCTTATCCAATCCAACTCTTCGATTTCCAAAACACGTTATTCGGATATTGCGAAAAACAGAAGTACTATTAGCCAAAGATCACGCAACAACTTTTTTCTTAAGCAATTGAATGTCATTTCATTCATTCACACATGGTTTGGAAGGTTTTAATCACTCTTTCATCGGTACGTGTACGATTGACAAGCTAGACGTCCATTTCACCAAGGCCCGTCACCCGACAAGACTTCACTCCTTAGTAACTTGTAAAATAAGTTTGATCATCTTGATAGAAATCATCTGTAAATATTTTGGATTCGCATTTTGTTTATCAATACAACAGTGAAATACAAAGGTCTTTCGATTTATGATGTATGTAACTCCGTGTAATCAAATTTATCATCCTCTTTGCCTTCGGAAACTTCAATTTGTTCTCCGTGTTCGGATCCATAAGCCCAACAAATAACAAGATAATAGATGTAGTTAATCATACCTAAGATAGCGAGTAGCGCGTAATAGTAATTCAGATGGCCCTTGTTGATGTTAGTCGATAACCAGCTCTTGTTTCCTCCAATGCTAGTGACCTTGTCCACAATGCTCACAACCATACTCGAAATTACATCACTAGCAGCTAGTTCCAATGTGAAAATCGCCATTGCAAAACTCGACATACTCTTAGGGAAATAACTGTAGAAAAACTCAACAAGTCCAACTGGCGTGAAAGACTCGCCTAACCCAAGCAAAACAAACTCCGGAACAAGCCATAAGGCTGACATGTTGATTACCGCGTTTGGTTGGTCCTCAAACCCTTGTTCAATCGCTGCATTTCGTCTCACAGTTTCGACAATAGCTGCTATTGCTTTAGCTGCACATACAAACAACATTCCTATACCAATGCGGACTTTACAACTGAATCCTCTAGGCCGGCCTGCGTATTTGGCTAGTAGAGGTACTGCTATGCGGTCGTACGAAGGAATGGCTATTGATAAGGTGAATATCATGATAAGATTGAATGATCCAGCAGGAAAATTGAACTTTCCAAATAACCTTCGGTTCATTGTTTTGGCTTGAAGAGTGGAAAACGAACTCTGAGTCGCCATCATAAAGATTCCCGTCGACCACATAGGAATGACTCTAAGCAATGATTTCAGTGACTCCACCTGTCCTATTGTGCATAGGTTCCACGGATTCGAAATTGTTCCATCTCGGTTTAAGTCCGTCTCATGATTTCTTATAACGCAAGCTTTGTTTAAAAACCTACATAAGAAGAACATGTTAATTCATGCTTCTTGCAATATACATAACTTATTGATGAGAACAAGCATAATCAATACCTCAAGCTATCGGTAGGAACCATCAGATCCGAATCACGGCCTTGACAGTACAGATCAAAGCCATGATAAGGAAGACTAAGCTTTCTGTTCTTTATGGCCACAGCAACTACTCTTATAAAATTAGTGAGTAAGCTCTCACTCGGCCTCACTTTGACATAAAACGGCGAACCAACAACGAAACTGATAGCCGATATCAACATTAGCAAAGCAGGTACTCCAAACCCGACTTTCCATCCTAAGTTTTCTTGAATGTAAGCAACCACACTCAACGCGATAATGGTTGAAACTGCAATCGACGTATAATACCAATTAAAGTAACTATCCAAGATTCTACCATCATCAGAATTTTCTTTAACAACTAACTGATCTGCTCCAAAGGCTATAGAACAAGGTCTAACACAACCAGCTCCAATCGAAATCAATCCTAAGGAAACGAACAAAACCGCTAGTTGAGATGCTGTAGCAGAATTGAAGACTTGGACGAGTGATGGTGATACATCAGACGGTTTCAAAGTCGGGATCATTGCAGTTAACCACAAAATAGTTAAACCCTGTGGAAGATAAGAAACATTAAAGCGTCATCATCAGATCAGAGCCATCTCAATTTTTCGGAGGTCCTGTATAGATTAGCCGTAGTTTAATATTTAACTATATATTAACTTAACTGTGACAAACATTTTATGAGACCCTAACCGTAACAAATTTTGAGTTCTATGCAGTAGTCCGTCTTACATGCCCTTAAAGACGGCCTCGATCATTATAGTAACACGATAAGAAATCATTTGTCAAAAGAAGATAATGAACTTACAAGAAGGCTTGAGAAGGAACCAAGGAAGATGACATTGAATCGTCCCAAGTAAGAATCAGAGAGAAAAGCACCAAAAATGGACAAGAGATTGGACATAGCAGACCAAGTACAAAGAACATTAGTAGCTTTAGGAACAGTCATATTATAATCATTGATCAAGTATAAAATCATGTTAGGCATTGTTCCATAACTTGCCACTTTCTCAAAACACTCATTCACTGTCACATCACAAACAAACAAACAAACAAAACATTCAAAAGGGTCATCAAATATATAAAAAAACATTAAGGATAGAATGAGACAGTACCTATGATGAATGGCATGGTTTTGAAACCACCTTTTCTAGGTTGAGAAGAAGAAGAAGATGAAAGGATGCCATTTTGCATGAGTTTCTCATTTGTGGCATCAAGGCTAGTGTACTCCATTACTCTGATTTGCTAGATACTATTTTTGGATGTAACTAAATTTGAAACTCAGAAAGAAGTAGACATTTTTCTTTTGATTTTTGACAAAACATTTGTTTTTTTCTTTTTGTTGATTATTAGATTAGAAATATCTTTTTACCATTCCACGCAGTGCACGAGTTGAATTTTAAATAATAAATAAATTTTGGGTTAGTTGTTTAATAAACAGATCTAATCAATATATTATTATTTGCATTTAAAAATAAAAAAAAATCAGTTATCATTTCCAAAAACAAAATGTTAACGCATCACACTCGGTCCCCTGAAGAGTTCAGAATTCGTCTGGGCGAGCAATAGAGGTCTAACAGCATCTTCAATGGTGCTATTCATATTTGGGTTCTTTGTGGGATCCATTAAGCCACATCATCTTGAAGCAATTCATTTCATTTTTCACTCCAATGGTGCAATTTTAAAGAACTTATATCGGGACCCACAATTTTACTTTGTATATTAATATTTTATTCATACTAAATTTTATTTGATTTAAAATTGTTATTGGGTCTCACAATTGATTATTTTAATAATAAAAAAATATAAAGTTGCTTATATTTGTACCGTTCATCAGCTGGAATAACTTTTTTGTTGACAATTTCAATGCCAAGTTGACAAACCAATCTGGAAAACCACCGTTGGAGGTGGTCTAAGACTTAACCTATACACATTTCCATTAGATTAGATTTTTTTTTTTAAATTGAAAAGACTTAATTTTTTTTTATAACTCTATTTAATTAAAAAAGTTAGACTATATCTAATAAAAAAAAATTAGATTTATCAGACCGATCTATTTAAATAAATTGATTATTACTATTATATTTTATTTGTATTTTGAAATAAAATACAATAATAAATCTTAGTTATTTTAAAAAAATTATGATGATAAACTGAAAAGAACATATGAACAATGTCATTAGTTATTTTCATACATTCTTTTAAACAAAAAGTATCATAAAACTTATGTTAATATATAAATTTGAATAAGTAAATGCAAATAAGCACTTAGTCGTATTGATATTTTAATTTGTTAATATATTTAAACATTAGTTGAATTGCTTATTTATAAATGTTCAAATAAAATAGGTTTTTATGTAGACTAATTAGTCAAACATGTCTTCTAAAAGGTCAGACTCAAACTTAAAAATAAGTCCATGATAAACCACATGCTAGACTTTGACTTTATAATTTTTAACCGATTATACTCAGGCTTGACAAAACTTATCTCGACCTAGTCTATTTCTACCTCTACTCAGGTGGTTTAAATAAAAAAATATTTATAAGCCTTTTTGAGCTAAGAAAATATTTTTTTGTCCTAATTTATTTAAAGAAAAAGAACTATACACTATTAATTAATTAGAGATGTGTATTCTAACAAGTCACACTTATATTTTTAAAATATTGATATCACACGTCAATTTAAGAATTTTGATTAATCATGTATATAATATTGTTTCCACTGATTTTGCATTATTTTAAACTCTTTTACTTATATATTTTAATATAATACTAGTGACACACTCGTCCTACCATACGGATATTTATATATTTGATGTAATATATTTTGAATAATATGAATAATATGTGTAAATATTACTCATAATTATTTTATTAATGATTATGTAAATTAATTATATATGAAAAAAATTAAATATATAAATGAAAAGTTTTAGATATAAATGCAAAATTTGAAATGGTATTTATATATTTGATGTAGTATATTTTGAATTATATGAATAATATGTGTAAATATCACTCATAATTATCTTATTAATGATTATGTAAATTAACTATACATGAAAAAAAATTAAATATATAAATGAAAGGTTTTAAATATAAATGCAAAGTTTAAAATAATTTACTTATTTGTAAAAGAAAATTTCTTACCCCACCCCATATGGAAAAGAGACACCCTATGCAATTCCAAAATTGCCCATCAAAAAATCAGAAATATACTTCTGGTTCGCACCATATTTTGCACAAAACATGTCAAATATGGTTTCATCCTTCAAAATGCAAAAAACGGTACCCGAGATATACTTCCGATTCTAAATCAGAATTCTGTTTCCGATTCTATTAGCGGGAAGATTGAATTTTGTTGCCACCTTGACATTTTATATATAACCGAAATTATAATTCCGGTTTTATGGACGATTCAAATTACTTAAAATAGTAACCAGTATGGTCATGTTTGATCACCACCATTTCTTCTTTCTTTCCTTAAAACCTATCAAAAACCCTCATCATTCTCAATCCATTTTTCCACTCCAAATCATTATTTTTGTGGTTCATCATATTAGAAAGAGCTCAAGGAAGTTGAATTTCAGGTACAGTTTATTCATTTCAACCCTTATTCCCTACATTAATTTGTTGTTTTCTGTAGAAAAAATTTACGTACAAACCAGATGTATACTTTCGGTAGTTAAAAATGCATCATTGTGGAGAAAACCTGCGGTGGGGATAAAACAGGTTACAGGTGAAGATGGAAAATTGGTCAAGGCGGGCGTCATTTTGGAGAAAACTATGGATGTATGGAATGTTATAATAAATGCATCTACAAAAGAGCTATACGCTTATTTTGTTTTACAGTTCAAGAATGTTTGTAAGAAATATCCCGATCTATTGAAATATGTTGATAGCATAATTCTTGATTAGGTTAAGGGGAAGGTTGTTTGTGCCTGGACCGATCAGGTTATGCACCTCGGTAATACAACAACAAACTGAGTTAAGTTTGCGCATGTATGTCTGAAGAATTGGTTGAGAAATAGCAAGGGTGATTTGATTACGGATTGGGAATCTGTGAACCAGATGCTACTAAACCAGCATAACGAGATACATATGACATTTGGTCGTAGTATCACGGTGTTGGAACATAGATTCAAAGACAACACGCTATATTCTCAGTTGGTTGGTAACTTATCTCGGGAAGCTCTGAATTATATTTTTACGAGGCCAAACGAGCTTATAATGTAGGTTCTGACAGCTCAAAGTGTGGTTGCACAATTGTGAAAACATATGGTCACCCTTGTACTTGTGTCATGTCTAAGAAGATGAAAGTTGATAGTCTGATACGTATGGACGAGGTCTCTGATCATTGGAAGAGACTAAGTTTTCACGATGAGAGTAAAATGAAAACCGACTCCTACACCGACTCCATCCAAAATACCATTCATCTACCACATGTTGGCTTTTATCCACAGGTACATTGAACGGATCATCAATATCGAGGGTGACGGTGACTATGGTTTTCAAGTTGTTTCTAGTTTGTTCGGTAGAGGGGAAGAGTATTACAATATTATCTGAGATACCCTGATCAGAGAGTTGACGGGCAATAGAGAATTATATACACGTGTGCTAGGGAGTAAAGAGAAGGTTGAGGAAATATATCACGCACTTGTACCTCCCAAGGTTGGAGTTGCACCAGAGGATAAATGGACGCGCTTCTCTGAAATGGGTCATCTCATAGCAAGTGTGTATGAGAGGGTGTGTATTAATCTTACAAGATATGGTTTCTCGGAGACTTATTTCCCTCTGCGCACTACTCCAACACCAAATCCTGATGGTCGTATCATATTTGTTGGGTGAGTTTCAAATCTGCGATATTTTGTTCAAGTGTATTTGAAACTGGGATGCCTTATACCACCTATATCACCGAAGTGGGTGCTTCATTTCACAAACTCATCAGAGACCTGGTCGGACCAATTCTTTGAAAGGATGCAAGAATACAACAAGTTGAACCAAATTGAAATAGAAAAAAAATAGGGAAAAGTCAAAAGGGGTGCCACTGGTAGATTTATCCAACGACACTTTTTTCGGCTCATTCAAGTAGTTAGGTATCATTTTATTATTAATGTTATTTTGTTCATGTATTATGATGTAGAAATATAGTCATTTTTGTAGTTTGACCAAAATTATAATATTTGAGTACATGAGGTTTTTTTATTAGAGTTGTTGTTTTTATTCTATTTCTGGTTTTCACTCCGAGGGCCTTAATTGAAAATATACTTCTTGTTTCATTTAATAAAAAACCAAAAATTAATTGTCGCTTCTATCACTGACACATAAATAGGATTTGTATGGTTCATGTTTACATCCAACTACTATAAAAAACCTCACTTCTTTTATTTTTTCATACCGCAACATCAAAAACTAGAAATGGACATGAAATTTAACATCAAAAGGCATGTTGGAGTTGTCCATTTTACCGGCGCTACACTATCTCACGAATTTAAGTTCACGGTGTACACCTCTATGAAGATGTGTGTGAAATATTGCAGGAACTTGTATCTTATGGCGACAATCAGAAAGTTGTGAAGATCAAGTACCATTCATCATCTGTTGACAAAGATGGGAAGCTTGTGTTCATCAACCGTGAGCTGAAGAACGACGATAATCTACGGGCTATGTGGAATATTTTTGACAGTTTTGAGAAGAAAGTTTTGGTCGAGCTAGATGCGACTATAACAAGATTGGTCGATGATATTATCATGATATTGCAACGTCCACCTGGACGTTGATTTGTAATATTTGATTTATGTTTAACTCCTAATTGTATTTGCTATGTTTATGTTATGAATTGTATAATGAGATTATGATGCAATTCAATAATGTTTTCTGGTTTTGGTAAAGAATAAAACCAGAAATACACCTCCGGTTTCAAACTGGATTTATATTTTCGGTTTCTATATATACTTTATCAGATCTAGGTGCGCATTAGAAGTATACTTCCGGTTTTGAGGGGCATTTATGGGATTTCACATGGTGCGTAAGAAAGTCACGGCGTGAGTTAAGAAATTGCTTTTGTAAAATGAATAATATTCATATAGATTCGATCCTATAAAATAATCATACTAAAATAAGAAGAAAAAAAGAACCATGAAATTGGAAAAAAATATTTTTTTAAATAATTATTTCTAAAAAAAAATTATTAATTTAAATAAAATAGATTATTCTGGTAGTGAACTGTAAGATAAAAAATTAATTTACAAATTTAAAATATAAATGCCAATAATAATTTTAATAAAGTTAAGTTATCCAGAAATATAAAAACAAAGGACATATTTATTTTAAAATAAATAATAAATTGGCAATGAAAAAGAAAATAATTAAAATTAATTTTGATGAAAAATATATATTTGATTAATTATATACAAATTTAATGTATGTTAACTTTGAATGTAATAATTTAGTATGTTACACCAAATTAATAAATTTGAATGTTAAAATGTAATGTAATTAACTCTAACAATTATTCTATATTAATCATTCTATTATAGATGTTAAAAACAATTTATTAAAATGTATTAAACTGAATTAGTAGCAAATATATTATACATGACACTATTTTTATTCTCCATTAAATTATTTACTTTATGATTAATTGTAATATATATATATATATATATATATATATATATATATATATATATATATATATATATATATATATATATATATATATATATATATATATATATATATATATATATATATATATATATAATGTTTGTGATGAGGGCATCTAAGAGCATCCACATCCATCATATTCATTTGGGTTCTTTAAATGGAACTCACATAATTTTTTATATTATTTCACACTTCTCAATTTTTTAAACAACACATCTACAATTCTCAAATATCCATGTAACTCATCAAAAAATCTAAAATGAGTCTCACATTTAAAACAAATCAACTACATTCTTGCAATTTTATTTATATAATTTATTAAAAACTTTAAAATAGGTTCCACTAAACCCCACAATATACCCCATAACCCATCTTTTCTTAACAATTTTTGAGAAAAAAATGAATAAAAAGACCAAATAAAATTTAAGAAGCGTGCTTTAGTATGAGGACGTGCTTTAGTTCAGAAATGTGAAAACAAGTGAAATATCCATTTATTATTGATACAATTTGTTTAATAAATGTGTAGGAACTCTCAAAGAACACCGATAATCATGCTCTAAGTCTTCCGCTGAGATTATAACTGAGAAAGACTTGATATCAGTAGTTGAGAATTTTCAACTTGCACTTAGAGGTGTTGTGGGGGTTGACTCAATTGAGATTGTTGAGTTTGTAAGTTTCTTGGATCGAAATCAATAACGAGGCAGTTGAAGGTATTTGTAGAAGTTCAAGAGGAACCTAATTTTTAGAGGAATGGATTAAAGTGTTTAAAAGTTGTATTTCATCTCTTGAGAGTGGTTTGGGAGCATTGTATAAAGTGCAGAAGGATAAAGGTCATTTAGGGAAGTTAGTGATAATCATCCTAAGGCATGGAGATTTTGATGAGTTATCATATTTAGCCATTAAAAATGGAACATGAGCTAGTCAATATAAGCCACCAAAGATTATAAGGAATAATGAATTTGTGAAACTTATAATTACAAAGTTAACATGCATGTTCTATAATAATGCTTATCATTACTCCTTTAAATGAAATAAAGCTGAAAAACAATGTATTTACCATATGAGCTCAAACTCGTGAGAAAGTTGAAAGTATAGGAACATAGCCATCCACCAAACCATTTCACCAATGTGGCTATGGTTCCAGTCTGTCCTTTAATATTCATAGGAAATATATGCAACACAAGGTAATATTTCAACAAAATTTGTGTTATCTTTTTGTCAAGTAAAATCCCACTTACTATGTTATGGCAAACATATTTTATAACTGACGAATTTGAAGGGATCGGGGCGTACCTCAGACATCACAACCCATGGAACTGCTTCTATTCCTATGGGAAATGATCCTATGTAGACCTAATATCATATAAAGAGTAAAATTCACATGGAGAATGAGTTCGTATTTCGGAAAATGAGATACATAAAACAAAAAAAGTATCAATGAAGAAAGGGTGGTAGCTATACGAGTATGTCGGTTACAACAAGTGTTGGGACTGCCCCTAAGCCCACATTATGAACCTGTTACTCACAAGTGTTGAAACTTTTACATAAATATAAGGATTCAAAACTCGACGCCATAATGTTCATAGTTGAAATGCACCTTAAGATAGAATGCAATTGCTGTAAATATACATCATACAACCAATCCTGATCCAGACAAGTAAATAAAACTCTAACCAATGACAAGTATTCTATAGATCAAAAAACCAAAATTTCTTTTTGTTCAAAAAAAGTAAATAAAAGAGACACAAAGTTATGATCAAACAATGCACCTACTGGGAGGGAGTTTGAGCTGGTGGGGTAGTGATTTATGGTTCAAAGTGATGATCAAACAACACACCTATCGAAAGGGAGTTATGATCAAAATCTTGATTTTGTTTTCATTATCTACTTTGGTAGCTTTTGCTTGGCCGAGTTACTTTTGAGCAGTAGAAGCAACATTTTTAATAATTGATGAGTAAAGATTAAACTCCGCCTTTAGTTTTAGACAACATGCCTGAATCCACTTCCCAGCTATTGTTGTACATACACTGTCTTGGATATCCCTTCCATGCTCTTCATTGGAAGACCGTGATTCTTTGTATAAAGAATCAAGAGAATTTGTGGCATCATCTCAAATGATTTCAACGAAAACCAAACACTTGGTACTTCTATTCATAAAAGTTGTAAGTTTGAAGTGTTATTTTGTTAGTTACTAAAAAGTCTTTTTAGTAGTGTAAATATATTTTGATGAAAGGCCATATTAGTCAGATTGGTCAATCTCTTAGTATTAGTAAGATAGTAGAAGTATGTCAGTCTAGTGACAATTGAATTTCAATGCAAATATAGCACATGAAACAACAAAGAGTTAAAGAGTTAAAGAGTTAAAGAGGCAGCACCTGAACCAAATTCAAGGGCAGAAAAAATGTTTATTATGAAAATTGACAAGTATGAAGATAAAAGGGATTATTGTCAATATGTTTATTATGGTCTTTGGCCGATAATACCCTCCAACTGCATAGTCATCACGTAACATATACGCAATTGCCATAAAATACAATATCTGCCAAAAATACAAAGCAGACGGAAGAATCAAATAATTGCCATATAAACTTTTGTTACCGGTACATTTTTGTTTCTATCGGATGTCATAGATTTTAATCATGATTATGTATATGACATACCTTTCGTAAGAAAGGTCCAAGATGTAATCTATAAAATAACTAAAAACAATAAGCAAATCACTCATAGAATTCAAAAACTACTTTTGTTTTTGGTACAAATAAATTTTTTGATATCATTTTTTAGCCAGAGCCACAACCATTTTCCAGATTAACATGTCAAACAATGTAAAATAACAAAAACATTAACACCAATGGTCAAAAGAGTCAAATAAAACGAAAAAACACCACTTATTTAAAACATAACACTCTCTCACATTATCAAACAAACCCAACTATATACCCAACATCAAGCAAGCTTAATGAGATTAAGAAAAAATGCATGCTCATCTAGATATAGTTGTTTGAGCTTTTCTACCAACATCTGGCCTATGTAGAAATGGAACTGTTTGAAAGAACTTATGGAATCAACTAATGACATGCCCAGAAATTGTTTTCACCAGAAAAACCATGCATTAACCATACATTCTCATAGACTGTTCTCAAATAACCAGAATAAACCACTTGTCTCTTCACTAACACAAGAAAATGAAAATTTGATTTTATTGATTAAGAAGTTCAAAGCATTATAAACTAAAGTTGACATCTTTTAATACCAGTTCATAAAATTCACTGAAAAACTAAAAACCAAGAACAGAGCATTCACTTGGAAAAAAGGTACAATCTTTCAGTGAAAAAATGTACTTATCTTTCCGATCAAAGCCATTTCTATTGGTCTCTGAATCAATCTCAACTAGCCAATATCGCACCATATCTGACCAAAACATGCAAACATGTGTCAAAGTCTGCATTTATGAAGGTAGTTTGAACTGATAATTATTTTAGTTTCGATTGTGTATACCTGACAACCCTCGTCTTGACTCCAACTTGAACTGCATGAAGGTTGTTTAGCCTCTCTGATCTTCTGTTTTTCTAGAAGATAGGCACCTTTTGCAGCCTTTGCTTCAACCCCTTTCAAATATTTTGTAGGATTACCTTGCCTATCATAGTATCGACCAATTAACTTACCAACATACCCATATTAATAAGGATAAATATTCCAGTAAACTAATTCAATCCATGATCAAATTATCAAATTTGAAATAGATTCCATAGCTAACCACTACAAAAGGAACTGATTCAACTAACATCAAATTAATCTTCATTTCTGCAAATACTACACTTGCAATAACAACAAACATAACCAAATCAATATCAGATTTCTACAGATCCACAATAAAAATGAATCAATGATTAACAGAAACAAACTACAACACAATGAAATATCAGAAAAATCAAAACCCTAAAATTGAAAAAATTAGAAAAAACTAAAAAGCAGAACCTATCTTAAAACAAAGATACAGCGACTTTATCCTACGATGGTGATGAGGACGACGATTATGAGTAATGACTGCCAGAGAAGGAGAGGCGGTGCTCGACGGTGAGATCGCTCGAAACTAAAATCCAATTGATTCATTGGAAAGCCCGTGAGATGAGGAATACGAAAATGGATTTAATTTTTTCATTTAAGGTGGTGGTGGCTGAAGAAAGGGGCGACGACCGCTAGGGTTTAATGGAAAAGATAGAGGAGACGAGAGAAAATGAAAGAGAGAGAAAGGATATGTTTTGACAGCAAAAGAGAGAAAGAGAAAGGTTGTCTATAAGACCATGTGCAATGGTGTGTTTAATTGAACTCAACATGGCAAAATCATGTGCAATTGTGTGTTTAGAATAGTGTTGAGTGTGTGTTGGAGGAGAGAGATGTTGAGAAAACTCAACACCATGTACACTGACGCATGGGCTGACGTGGCAGCGGCTGGTTGGCTGACCAGATTTTTATCCATTTAATACTTTGAACTCAATTATTTCGTTGCAAATTATTTTTTATTTTTTTTTTACCAAAATTCATGATTTTTTCTCTCTATAAATAGAGACTTGGTTCATTTGATTTGGACACAAAAAAAAACTAAGTTTTTCACTATCTTAATTTTATTATTAGTGTTTATTTTGAAGTTAAGTGTCTTTTTTTAGTGAAATGGATCCCAATAATCATTTTAACACTCAAAATTCTGCTAATTTTCCATTTAACCAAAATCCCAACAATTTTCCAAATCCCAACAATTATCAAAATCCCAACTATTATCAAAATCCAAATCAATTTTCCAACCAACATCCTCAAAACATACCTAATTTTGGTTTTCCACCAAATTTCAACCAGAGATCCTTTGTTCCAAACTTTCAAACATATTATGGATCTATGCCGAGAAATCCATCTCAAACACCCCCGTTTAATGGTTATGTGACAATGGCGAATGCAAATTTTCCAAGTGGTGGTGTACCTGAATTTCCCGAGTTTTCAACACAACTAACTATTGGTGGCATGATAGTTTCTAATGAAGTCGGTCCGAATTCAGAGGATTCAACTCCTAAGAGCAGGAAAACTCAGCAACCAGCATGGAACACTGAACAAAATTTGGTGCTAATTAGTGGGTGGATTAAATTTGGAACAAGCAGTGTTGTCGGGAGAAACCAGAAAGGTGAAACATATTGGGGTAAAATTGCTGAGTATTGTAATGAGCATTTCTCATTCGATCCTCCGCGTGATGGACCTGCATGCCGAAACCGTTTTAATTATATGAACAAAGTGTTGGGTAAATGGATTGGCGCTTATGATGGCGCTAAGCGTATGCAAGGAAGTGGTTGGTCGGAGAATGATGTTTTGGCAAAAGCGCAGGAATTATATGCATGTGGGAAGAATGTTAGATTCACTTTAATGGAAGAATGGCACGCTCTCCGTGATCAACCACGTTATGGTAGTCAAGTAGGAGGAAATATTGGCTCAGGAAGTAGTGGATCTAAGAGATCTCGTGAGAGTGATGCATGTGGCTCAAACACTGTAGAATCCAGTGCTCGTCCTATAGGAAGGGAGGCAGCTAAAAAAAGGGGTAAAAAGAAAAGCAAGGAATATGCCTCGGAGGTGGTGGACAAAGAATGGGCTGAATACAAAGAATTCAAGACGAAAGAGCTTGAACGATTGGACAACATAGCCTTGATGCAACAGCAGGCTAACAATATAGCCTTGGAGAAGACTAAAACCAAGAAAATGAAGATGTATCTAGTGCACCACAACCATACTCGACCGAGGTGTTACCCGCTTTTGCAAATCATGTGCGTGCTAGATCAGAGTTCCGTGATCCAAATGTTCATCAAGAATTGCAAGCCGATCTAGTGAAGCACATATGGACAAAGTTTGGAATGTTCTGTGATTGAATTATTTGTGTGTTGTATTGCATTTTAAATTATTTGTATCGTACTAATTACGTTACTTGTGTGTTGTATTGCATTTTAAATTATTTGTAATGTACTAATTACGTTAATTGTGTGTTGTATTTTAAATTAATTTAAGATGATTTGTATCGTATTCAATTATTTAAATAAATTTTGTTTTTATTACAAAAAATTAAAAAATAAATTATTAAGTATTTATTATTTTAATTTAATTTTAATCGATAATTGTAATTTTATGTAATCATAAAAATAAAAATAAAATTTAAATAAGAATATGAAAATAAAAAGTGGTGGGGTAGGGTGTTGAGTGAAAAACCATTGGAGAGGGTAAAAGTTGAATGGGTGTTGAGTTATTAGGTGGAAGAAAGAGAAAATGATGTGGAGTGTTGGGAGTTGAAAAAGTGGGTGTTGAGTTTTTCAACCATTGTAAATGGTCTAAGGTTGGATCGTAGGGAAAAAGTTTATTTTAATTTGGACTAATGAGAGACCAAAAATTGGCACTTATTTAGTGAGTTGCTCAAAAAGTTTAAGGCCATTTTATTGATTGCTGAAATGCCCTTTTGGCTTTGGAAATCATTTTGTAGGGAAGGGTATTTTCTTCAGTTTGGTTAATATTTTAGTACTAGTCTATATAGTCTATTATAAATATATAAAAATGATAGTCCCTGGAAATTACCACAACACCACAGCTGAAAAAATCTATTGTTGGTCTATTGTATTGGGGTAAAATTGGAAACTCCAAAATATCTTGCACCACATTGATTTGAATCTGATGTGGCACTCCCACAATTTTTCACCACATTTTCAATTTTTTTTAAACACTACTCTCGCTATATTGTTTTGGCATTAATTGCATCTCATGTGTCATCACAATAAAATTTGATACAATTTTTCATTTATTTTGTTACCACTAAATCATCCGTGTCTTTTTTTTTTGTTTCACTACCAAAACACCAATAATCCTTTGGAATTCTTTAAACCTAATCATAAAGAATTAAAAGCACGTACATGTATAGAGGTGGAAAATGAAGAGTCCCGTTGCAATTAACCAGCAGGTACAACTTCCCATAAATCCTTGAGTTTCTTCAGCTGCCATTTTTGAACTATTACATAAACACCAATGTCTCTTTGTAATTCCACATGATTTATGTCCATTTCAACTGGAAATTCGAAACAGGTTAGGGTTTTTTTGTTATTCAACCCATATGTTTTCTTTTCTCTTTCGTTTAGTGGATTTCATCTTCTCTCTTTCGTTTTTTGTATGCCTTCTGATATCCATGTGTTTTGTGGTAACTGAACAGGCGAATAATCTTTCATTTGTGTGCTTAAATTTTGTTTGTTAACTCACCCTTTCCCAAGGTTCACACAATTCAATTTCCTGTAAACCATACTAATAAGCTTCTGTAACATATCAAACCCTATACTTTTCAGTCTTCCAAGCTCTGATTTTTCGCACCATACCATGTAATTTTCTATCATAATTTGCGTTTCTCATATATACCAATTTGGTTTATGTTTTAATTTTTTGGCTGCAAGTTGTAATCGTATCATCTGTTGAATGGCCGATTTCTGCCGATTTCGTATCATCTACAGGAAGGCGCTGGTGGCTAGCCGCAAATTCTTTGGTGGTTGTCAGCTAAAATATCGGATCTCGGTGACGGTCGAAGATTGGTTGAGCAGTGGATCAGAGAACAAATTCTTCGTTACTCTTCCTTTTCTTTATCTGATCTGTAACTGATAATGTTATTGATTCATTATGAATTTGTCTTCTCTATTTTTGTAGATATGGAAGATACATTGTTGTATGTTTTTCCAGGTTTCAAATCATGATAAATAGAACACGGTTAGAGGTCTGCAAGTCGTAGCAATATGTTTTTTTTTTTTTGGTTTTGTGATTTGAATTATTTATGGATCAAAAAAGGAACATATTGAGATGATTTTGGTTGATTCTAAGGCATCATGGTTGTGGTTAAGTTCGTAATATACCTTCTCAAACCTTTGGGTGTTTGTAATATTGACTTTTTATAATCGTTTTTTTATAGAGATATGATTCAAGCCATTGTACCACCCTTTTTAGTTTCAAAATTTAAGTAACATTTTGCTGTCGGATGCTCATACATAATGCAAAATTTCAAAATGTGTCTAACAATGATTTCCCTTTTAAATGCACTAATCATAGCTGCTTCTGATTTCTATCTTTGTTTTTTGTTGTTTTACTTTTCAGCTTCAATCATTGTTTGATCTTCGTTTTGATTTGCTTAGTTATTTTGTTATATTTTTAACCCATTGATGTGTAAACAACTGTACTGTATTTTTTTGGGAAACTGATGAAGTTGTTGCATTATATATAAGGAAGTGTTTGGTTTCACTACAGGTTTAGTGTGGCTTTTAGCTTCTTTGAGTTATAATTTTTTATTAATTAATAAAGGTAATATAATTGTAAGTGTGTTGATTTAATGTTTGTTTACAATGCAGACAACGGAAGTGAAGGATACCGGTCCTGCGGTTAAAGAAGTGCTATCGGTTATTGAATCTTTGAAGAAGCAAGTAGCTATGAAACATATTATTTCACTCAAGGTATAATTGCTTTACATCTGATTGTAGTTAGTTG